GGCGGGGGAAGCCAAAGCTGACGATTTATTTGCTGATGCGGAGCTTCAATTCAACTTTGAATATTCATATGCATCATTTCACGCAGTGTTTTGCTTCTGTTTGCAGCGAGTAAATCAGTTTGCCTGTGTCAACATGTCACCGATACACCGATACGAGGCAAATTTTGAAACCAATTCTTTGCAAAGACAGTGCCTCGAGAAACGAAAGTTGTGTTTTTGAAAAATATTTCACGCGCGCTCATTTCATTACGAAGTTTTCAAGCGACAAATAAGGCAGAGTTGCCTACGGATGATTCGAGATAAATTTTTGGCAACAACACTCTTTATGCATACATGCTCTGAAATAATATCAGCTAATTACCTTGAAACCATTCGAATTTGTTTTTGAAAGTAAGATTCCTATTACATTATGTAGATGTTGTAATCGTTTGTGTTGAGCATTTAAATTCACTTGTTGAAAAGTGTAATCTCATTAATTAAATTTTTTCTCTAAATAAAAACATCATTAAAATACTTAACTTTGCATGAAAAATTTGCATTTTTGTGTTAGATAAAATTATTTCAGAAAATTCATCATAAATATGCCAAAAAATTCTTATGACTTAAAACTGACTGACATTTATTTATTTAGTAATAGAAATTCGATTAACTTTGATTAAAATTTCAGCGTTCCTTTAATTGAGAGAGATTGTTTGAAGAATCTTGGGTGAAATAAGTTCGAATTGTGTTATTGATGGGATGACAAATTATAACGGCTAATTAGTGAAAGACGTTGACTATGTTGTTGCCATCTGATATGACTGCCGGCGCTTCAAATTGTTGGACCACATTTTATTATTTTTGCAATCTCATTTCAAATGTCGTTTTGGAACTCACGCTCAACTGGTCTGCATAAGCAATCTGCATGAATGCACGTATGAATCTTTATGAATTTGTGTGTGTGTGTGTGTGTGTGAATGGATGTGTGTGGATCATTATGAATGTGTGCGTATGTGTTTTTCCATGGATGGATGTATAGATCATTGTGAATGTATGTGTGTGAGTGCGTATGTGTGTGTGTGGGTGAGTGGGTTGATGGGTGTATGAATGTGATTGAATATGTGGATCATTATAATGAATGTATGTGTGTGTATGTGTGTGTGTGTGTGTGTGTGTGTGTGTGTTTGCATAGATGGATGTGTGGATCATTATGGATGTGTGTGTTTGCATGGCACGGTATGAAATGTATGCGTATGTTGTTGCCGATTGTTTGTGACTGTAATTTGTGAAATCTAACGAGCAGATTGTTGAATGAAATTAGATACTGGGAAGGATGAAGAAGATGAAGATGACAATGAAAATGACGGTAAAAATGGAAGTTGATTGTTATAATCACAAATATCAAACTGGTAATATTATCAATTTTTTCTTCTTTCATGGATTTGATGGAAAAATTTTAATGGAAACTTAAGTTTTTGGAAATATACACGGAAATTAAAAACATTTTTTAACGACGATGGTGTTCGTGAGAATAAAGGCAGGTATTTAACTTAAAATTTGAAATTACGAAATTGTGAATTTTGCTAAACTATTTCCAAAATATTGAATCTGATAACAATATCACGGTCTAATTAAATTTTCCTGCTAAATAAAATTTTATTTGTCAATGAAATTAAAAAATAATTCTTCAAATACACAAAAGAAATCTATTTAAACGAATATTTTTATAAATAAAAAATGTCAAAGTTTTGAGTTTTGGTTGTATCATATTGGGATTCAAAAATATTTGACAAGGTATTCAGAGGCTAAATTGTCCTTGAAAAAATGAAAGACGTGAGAAACGAACAATTATGCATTATGCAAGAAACGCTGTCGTTTGTGCTGTGCCTGCCGCCTTATTTAAACTAGGAAGGGAAAAAATGCCTTCTGCAGTGAATAAATTTGAAACATCGTGTCAACTTGATTAACTTTGCAAATATTTAAATGAGTCAGAGGTAAAGACTAATTCTTGTACGTTGCCGAAACTTCAAGTTAGTAATTATTTCAATCTTCTAGTTGAATTGAAAAATAGTTGTGATATAAATGATTATGACGATAACATTTAATTTTAATATTAGCACTTATTATTGCATTTTATACGTTACATATGTATATTCACATTATTTTTTAATGTATAAATTTATATATGCACATTTCATTATTTATAAGTATTTTCTACAAACTCTGACAAAACGCACATCAAATAGAAAAATTATTTCGTCAATGAATAATTAAATGAATCACGTGTCTTTCTGACGTCATCATCATTCTGAGAAAATTCTTTTTTTCTGCAGCGGTGAGGTAAGTTTATGAATACTGACTGTTGCGTTGACGTTCCTGATAGCATGTGTTGGAATGCGAATGGGATGAGAATGGGATGTGTTGGGATCGGATCATAGAGGGGCATTTATCCGTTTTATGTACACAATCAACCAAAAGTGGACGTGATATGGAAAAAATAATTCAATTTTGGCTCCCACGTCACAGGAGGTTGGGATGTGATTGGGATTTTGAGTGAAATGTGGTTTTGATGGAATATTGTTATCAAGTGGTTTGGATGTGGTTGGCAATAAATTTGATTTAATTAATATTTTTTGTAGTATCAATTAACGCTTTTATGAAATTTTCAACATTTTTTTACTTTCAACATATTGTCTATATTCGTTCAAGTTATAACTCATAAACTTGCCAAGCCTTTTTGTATAGCTTTCTAACCAAATTGAAGAAGTGTTTGTAGTGTAATTTTGTTTTATTTCTGTTAAGCATGCCTATTTTTTTAAATAAATAACAGTTAATAAAAACAATAAATGTTAAAAATTTTTAATTAATTTATCCAACAGCAATTAGAATTTTGTTAAATTTTCTCCATAATATTTTAAATGAAAACGAAACTACAGTAGTAAAACCAAAAGTTGTTGGCGCAATCACATTACGCATAAGCACTTTTTTGTTCCACTTATTCTAGCTTAACCAGAGGCTTCTACACTAAAAAATTTATCTGATGAATATTGGTGTTAAATTATTCAAATAAATAGCAATCAAAAGTAAAACAAAGAAAGAAAAGAGCAAACAAGATAATGAGTCAGTAATTAATGGTAGCTAGGAGATGGTGAAGGGACATGTTGGAAGCATTCCCTAATACCATATCATCCATCAAACCGTCAAATTGATGCAAGCAGACATATCGAGCAGTGATGAATGGTTGCAAGAAGCATGTAAATTATTGAAAACATTCGACTTCAACTCGCATTATAGCATGGAAAACATTAAAAACTTTTACATTTAAACACAATCCATAAGCTGCGTCAAACAAGCAAATGAGTCGTATTTCAATGTCACCAGCCAACGACAACAAATCAAAATTGTTAACTTGGCAGCAGCGCAGTTACTGCCTCTTAATTCATAAATGTTGCAGGATCAAATCACATCTGATGGATGCATCATTTTTTTAATCAGCATTCAGGTTTACAGGGCAATATAAGTTTCTAATGCTGCTGTTTCTTAATACTGCCAAATTATTAGATATCTGAGTATTTATTTATTTATCTGAGTATCATCAACAAATACATTTGCCAATTAAAAAACAAACGGAAAATCTAGAAATATTTAAAAAAATATTCAAGCTCTTACTTGGGTTTATTATGCTATTTGAAAATTTTTAAGTTTCACGACTATCAAATGAGCTTAGCGAGTGCAGCGTGATGAAATTTTAGCAAGTAGGACTCGGTTATAAATTCATACTTTCATAGTCTTTCGATCTCGAAGTAGGTAGTTATTGATGCAGGCATGCTGATGTCACCTGGAGTGAATTTCTAATTGAATTATTCATCCATCCACATTATAGATACCTCACTATCTGCATGTCTGATTGACTCCTTCATTTCTGGCCAAGCGCTTCGAATGCACATCTCAATACATTACTTCTTTCATTATCATTGCCATTTTGAAAATTAATATGATCCATTAAACTGAAGATATAAGCACGAATATTTTGAAAAAAGTTATTAAACGTGATTTCATGAACTTAAAAATTTTAAAATGCCTATAAAACAGTGTAAAAGCATATTAAAACATAATAAGATGTTGAAATAACTAAATGAATTTTATATTAATTAACATTGTACGCTTAATAAAACAACAACAAAAACCCTAAAAGAATTGAAGCAAGCATTCAGGCACATATTTGAAAGACATTTCTAATTCGCCGAAACAATAGCGCGAATTAAAGCTACGATTAAAAAAACATGGTAAGACAATGGAACCACCCCGACACCATAAACCTGCTAATTCAGTAACGGTCACATATGCTCATAACAAATTAGATAGACAACTTAACGACTTGTTTTTACGATAGTGTTTCTTTCAATAAAACTCCCACATGCAAGATTAGATAGATTTACGGATGGTGGGCCGCTCAACATCAAAGGTTGCACTAACTCTCCCTCCAGTCCGCGCCATTCCACTAATGATAAAAATGTTAATGACCAGTACACAGCCAGGCTCTTGTGTCGTCTGCTTCTCCATGCAAATGCTCTCATAATGTTTCCATCTTTTAATGTCAGGACTTTTTGTAATGCTGTTAAAATGTTTGGTTGTTTTGTTTGGTGCAGAGCAAAATTGTAAAAAGAGGTTTTGCTTTTATGTTTGGTTGTCAGCATGTTGTTTTCGAACGATCGAAAGATATTAATAATGTCTCAAATAATTGAGAGCATTTTAAAATTTTATGTTCTAAAAATTGAAATATTTTATACTCAATAATAAAATTTTGAATCTGCGTTGATTTTGACTAAGAATATATAGATTGATAAGAGCAAAGATGCTGCCAACCCACCTAAACACGCAAGTTATATTACATACAATAATGAGACGAACACCGAGGCAGGTGACGGGTGAGCGCGCCGACAATTACGATGCCCACGCTGAATTTCACAGAGCCTCAAATTCACTAACACCTCCAAATCAAATAACCTTCTAATTCCACAATGCCCATTAATTGTCCCATACAAGCGGCTCACGACATCTGCATCAATGTGCGATACGCAAAGCTCACAATGCAAAAACTTCAAGTCAACATTTTTTGAAGATGATTTTGCTGTACAAACGAAAATGAATATAAATTTTGTATTTAATTCTACCTTTGCAAACAAATCGGTCAAGTAGTTGAAATGCCGGAACTGCATGTTAACTGGCATCACAGTTGCAAAATCTAAAGCTGTCATGAATAAATATAACAAGGGACGGGTAAGCCGTTTGCATTATTCCATAAGTTAACTAACTACTAACTCCGTTCAAAATAACTTTAGTTTGAGCACGAGAGAAGAACAATAAAAATTTTGAGTACGGTGTAGTAATAAAGTAAACGTGAATAAACAAATAATAAGTAAAAATCATTCTTTCTCGGACGAGAAAAACAGGGGATTAGCATAAATAGGTCATCAACTTTAAAATTTTGAAATCATCCTCCACCGCACAATTCCAGAGATTCGCCACTGCCTTCATGTGTAGCAGGCAACATCCTAATGAAATATTTTAAAAGTTTATATATACATGTGTGTGTGTGTTGTGCGCGCGCGTGTATATGTATATACACTATACCTATATGCGTAATAATATTAAACATTTGTATAAACAATGCTTGTTTTATCTTAAAATATGATATTACTAATCTCAATAAAATTTCGTCTTGCCAGCATATCATCAGTTTGTTTTGCATTTGTGCTTATGGTGGTGTTTGTGTGAATTATATTATCAATGTAAAGTTGAATATATACCTAAAATAAAAAACCAGGCAAGAGTTTCTACCTCTGTCAGTATCACAGAACCATGTATCTACAAAAACAAAAAGCACACACCAACACACACATACAAACACACACATTATATATATATATATACAATGTACATTGAAAATAATGTGTATGTACTTTCGTGTACATATGCGTAATCGTGTGTGTGTGTTTGCTGATTGCATGTGGTTGCTCCAGTGTATGGTGTGGAAGGACATGTGAATGTATTTTTGTAGTTGTACGTACACAGGATGCAGTGCACGTTAAATGTCAAATGTTCCTACGTACAACTGAATAACTCTACGCTGATTTTTCGGCACTGGACATTATTTTGCTTTTGTGCCATAAATAATTTTTGTCCAAAATTCTATGCGTGAAAATTAAAAATACTCATAAAACCTGTTCCTATAGATCATTAACGCACTTACATTAGGACTCAGTGGTGCTTTGTTATAATATATTTATATGCAGCGGTTAGCCAAATATGAAATTAAACAGCTGTAACAGCTGAAATTAAACAGTAAAGGTAGTTGGTGGCGAACAGTCAAAAAACAAATAAATGTTTGTTTGATTCACGTGCGCAAGCTACCCAGTGATCAAATTTTACGAAGGAACATTATTTTAAAACTTTCAGACATACTCAAAAATTATTCTGCATGCAAACGTTAAATTCAACTCAACATTTTTGAACATCCGAACACAATCACGTGTTCATTAGCAAAGAAATTGCAAAACTTTGCAAAGGAAACAAACAGTCAGTCACTGAAGGAGGTAGGTAAAAAAGCAAGCAGACAAACAAGCAGCCAGACAAGCAGACAGACAGAAAAGAAGATAGACAAAACAGTCATACAACCAGACAGACAAGGCAGGCAGACAAGCAGACAGACAGACAAGCAGATAGACAAACAAGCCGACATTCAGTACAGTTCCAGTGCAGTTCACACGAAAGCCACAAGAAAGCGAATTGAATGTGGTTAGGTTCATCAATTGTTCTTTCACATAGTTCATGTTTTTGTTGAAAATGTATGGAACGATTCATAAATCTCAAGCATTATAATTTCATAACATACGCAAATATTTTTTAATTAATGCTCCTTATTTCTCTAATAACAAAAAATAGATTTGTTGAAAATAGGTGTTAAATATTAATTTAAATATCTCAGGATTGGAATAATAAAGGTTAAAAATGATCTTGAGCCCTATGTTGTCTTAATGTGTGATCAAGCGTCAACATCTGATAAAGTTAATCATTGCAGATGTATATTATACACTCGGAAAAACAGAACCATTAAAAATATTCTTCCAATTGTTAACTCTCTAAAACAGCTCATTAAAAATGCCATACTCCAACCTCAAGTATGAAAAAACTGCTTGTTAGCACTAGCGCCTCTGATTCCGGAAAATGGGACTGAATGATGGAATATTTGCATTGTTGGAGATTACATTTCCTTGTGTATTTTCACACTGTTTCAAGCTTGTCAACAACGAATTAATCCGTGAAGTCCTTGTGTCACTTGTTGAATATCAACACATTTCAACTGCTATAAAGTGTTAAAGATCGGTTCGGTGGTCGCCAATGTCTTGAAAGGATAAGGCAAGAGAAGAAGAAGAAGAAAAATAATCTGCTAGTCAACGACACAAACATATAAACATAAAACATACAAACACGAACTATACAAACATGTCACATACAAACAATAACGCAGAACCAGTTGCAAGCATGGATTGACACATAAAAGCATGAATAAACAAATAAACATTATTGATGCTACTAATTTATGAACTGACGTGGCAACAAAAATGCAAACATACAAACAAACTAACAAACAAAACAAACAAAAAATAGACCTTATAAAAGATACAGACAAACACACGCAAATAAACACATACATAGCAGTGTGCGCATAAACATACAATATACACATGCTTACATATGATTTGGATTAAGACTGTCAGAAATGAAATTATTGATAAAAATCACAACATGTTCCGCGTTAGCTTCCCGTTTAATTTTTCTATCGGTAGATCATAAATCATTGTTTCTTGAGTTCAAAACCAAAATTTTTATTTGAAGAAGCTTTTTTCGGTATTCCTGAACCATCTTCGGTGTTGCGCCAAATGCTTATATATATATATATATATATATATATATATATATATATATATATATATATATATATATATATATATATATATATATATATATATAAATATATGTTGGTAATAGACCATAATTTTTACAATATTCTATATAAACTAAATGGCACTGATGATGATTCATTCGGAATCGAAATATGGCCTTATTTGCAGCATGAATTCGGAAAATAAGTTTATTTTGAATTTTAATAAACTAAACGTTCACCAAAAAACTTTAGTGAAAAAAATCGAAAAAACGAACTAAAAACATATTAAACTAAGCGGAACATGCTGTGATTTTCATCAATAACTACATTCAATTATTAATTACCACGTTGTATCTGAGAGCGATAGATGCCTCACGCAATTTCAGTAGGTGGATTGAAGGTGTTGATAGAGAGCTGTGTATACATCACCACCATCATCACTTTCACACGTTTCACGATAACAATCAATTTTTTAGCTTCATATTTTGACGAATATATAACAAAAGCGTTCTGTTTACCAAAGTTAAACTAAGAAATAAAAAACAGTACAATACCAACTTAGTAAAGAAATGTTGAAAAATCCTCACACAAATTATTTAGAAACCTTTGTGTTTATGTGACGTAAGAAATAATTATGCATTGGGTTCAAGCAACATTTAAAAGCGAAATATAAACAGTTAAACTAAAAATAAATTAAAATTTTTTAAATTTTTTAAATTCAAGAATGTTCAATCAAATATTAGTTGTGCGAACATCTTTAAAATGTTTGTAACAGTTGAAGTTGAATAAAAAAATAGAAGCAGCAACATAAGGCAAGACAAGGAGAGCGACATCATCAGCATCATAATCATCCTCTTCATCATCAGCATCATAATCATCCTCTTCATCATCAGCATCATAATCATCCTCTTCATCATCTGCATCATCGTTGTCATTCATTATGATGTGGAGTGGAGAGAGGCTATCAAAATCAACTCCTCATCACGAGAGCCTTCGCAATTATCATCATCATCATCTAATACGTTATCGTCGTCGTCACCATCATCATCTTCCTGCTATCAATTCGTTATCATCAACATCATTTTCTATATCATCATTGCCATCTTATCATCTTAATCATAACTGAATCAAGCAATAATCTGATTTATGTACCTATTTTGAGTTTTGGTGTCAAATATTTTGTAGCGCTGGTGGTTCGCAAGGCATAGAGGTTACGATGTTTGTTCTAATTTGAACGCTGTAATGTACGTATGAATTAAAACTTCAGCGGAAACTTTATTTGAATCTGCCTTCTAATTAAATTATGAATTTAATTGTTATAAAAAATAATTAACCACAATCCAGAAATTGATAAACCTATAAACAATTTAGTTTGCAAACAAAGTGCATAATTAGGAATATTCTCATCTGCTTTGCACGTTCGTACATCAGCAGAATATGAGGAAGCAGCGCAAGACATTTTCTTCATGACGTTTCGTTCGTCTGTCTGCCTGCCCGGCTGGCTGGCTGGCTGGCTGGCCATCACACAGGCAGACAATAATGGTGAAGTATGGTGGTCGTTACCAGCAATATATGAGGCTTCTACTAAAACTTGTGAATGTGGTTGTTGCGTTAGCTCAATCAAGCGTTAGAGATGCTGCGTTACGAGTGGTTATTTTAAATGTCATAGACGCAGGAGCCTGGTTCAAGTGCTCGTAAAAACTTTGAAACCGTTTGTTATTTGCATAGAACTTTACACGCATACAAAAAGTATTAAGTTTCTGCATCAAATATTCAGTGGTGGATCAAAAGGGGCCGTGCGGCCAGTACCCCCCTTGAGCAGTATTTTTGATAAAAGCCAATAAAACTCATTATTTTAACAAAAACAGCAAAGTTTTATGTTAAAAAAGACAAAAAATGGATGAGATAAGCCAAAAGTAGTCGTCAGCCCAATTACCACCTGTCTTGGAGCCCGCGTAAAAATTTTGGCCTCCCGTAGAAATTTTTAACATTTTCAATATTTTGGATCCCCGTCAAAGTTGTCTATACCTGCCAATGAAAGCATTTGAGAAGGTTTTAAATAAGTTTAGTTTTAATTTTCGGAAATTTGGTAAACCCATATTTCCAAATAAATATCTTGCCTAACAGCCGAACCAGCAACGATCATGTGATAATATTTCAATGACGTCATCCTCGTGCAGCAATGCCGTAATGATGTTGCAAGAAGAATGTAACAGTTAACAATATTGTAACAATGTAACAAACATGTAACGATGTAAAGACGAGGATGTAGATGATAACCAACTCAGACTGCATCCTTTTAGAAAGTGATTAATTGTTTTGGTCGTACTGAAAGCCGCTATCCCATCCACAAAGAAAATCGTTTAATTTTTTTTTTTTCGATAATGTTTTTATTTTGCTATCGTATCATAGTAAGTATGTTGTTCTCATCATTCATATCATCATTTTTTATGCAGTTTTTGCTAATTTTAGAAGATTATTTTTAAGTTTTATGTTGTAAAAGGTACTTTTTCCATCACTCACTCACTCACTCACTCACAAAAAAATTCGTTTATAGACGGAACACGGTTAAAACTGGCAAAATATTACGTCATTATCTTTATGCTGTTTTGAAATTTGATTACATACGCTTGTTTGAGAAATATTCAAATGACAAAAACACAACAATAATGCTTCTTCAATCGTTTAGCATTGATTTATAGTTAGGTTGGTTCTTTGTTACTGCAAGCGCTCTTCTTTTTCATTACTCCATATTACCAACTGTTATTGCTCCCATTCGTTATCCTCTTCCAACTCCAGATGTTCAAAAATCTAATGATGTTCTGTTTTTTTGGTTGTTGTGTTGTGTTGTTGTGGTGTGGTTGTGTTGATGTGTTGTTGTTGTTGCGGTGGGGGTGTTGATGTGTTGTTATGATCATTATTATTGTTGTTGTTGTATATTTATAGAGTTGCAATGCTGTGAAAATTTGATCTGAAGTATTTCGAAGATCTGTGTTGTTGTACTGTCGTGCTTTTGTATTTGTATGTTGTTGGGCTATGTTGTTATTCGTTTGAATGACGTTTTCATGTGCTGTCAACATGTTGTTGTTGTTCTATGTTGTTGCCGTTGCGTTGTTGCTGTTGTAAAAACCACTGCTTCGTAATACCCATCTATGTTGTTTTACTAATAAAACTGGTTAAGTTTCCAACGCAAACACCGCTGATATCTGAAGCTGCCGGTTCGATAGCACTGAAATGAAGAGTATAATGTTTGAAGTCGTTGTAAAACATCGTCAATAATATTATTAACAATTAATAATCATATTTCAAGTATAAATATATATATATATATTTTTATTGATTTTGGTCATTCAAACGAATAACCACATAGCCCAACAACACACAAACATATATTTTTTCTTGCACTTATTGTTGGCGCTTTTGAGATTTTATTAAAATGCGATTTATAAATTTTCATTTAATAATATATATATATATATATATATATATATATTGATGAAAGTGAGTATGACATATTCAAACATACGTCAGTTCTCCTTTTTACTCCACTCTGTCAATCATTCTGAAATAATCGTAGATCGCTTTCTATTGCGTGAATGTTTGCGTGGGTGTCGAATGAAACGCGCGTGTGAAATAACGCAGGTTTGCGTTGATGCCTTTGCCTGAAGAGGTTGTTCATCAGAGGTTCTGCTTTCTTAAATGTGACTACGTACGTGTGTAAGTAATTTTTGTGTGAATTCTATTTTATTTTGTGTGTATTCTATTTTAGGTGGAAATTTTGTATTTTTGAATGATGCTTTTATGTTTTCATTGGCGAGTTTAGGTTTTTAGGTCTATATAAGAAAGTCTACATGATGTAATAATAGAACTTTTTCAAAAATTTTGATTTTGATAATCTTAAGAGTTAAATGTTTTAATTTTTACTTCAGAATGTTAATCTTTACAAGCTTAATAATACTAACTTAATTACGATTTTTAAGATTGCAGTCTCAAAAATTGATGTAATGACAACTACAAAAAGATAATTTACTTTACATATTTAGGTTTCAGTGAAGTTTAAAAAATGAAACAAATTAAAATTAGAAAGCGAAAGTGAAGAAAATGACAGGTGGTTGATGATTTGTTCAACGAAATGTGATTTGTTCAACGAAATGTGATTATTATCAAGAGCCACCAATTCATTCATTCATGTCTCCAACTTTTCATCTTCTTTCATTTTTTATCTTCTCAGGCGATCAGTCATTCATTCACCGTTTCTACTTCTGCATTTATTGAATTTTACCAAAAAACCAAGATAACGTATACAAAAAAATTTTTCTGAGGGAGTGAAATTTTTTTGTCTGAAACTTTCGATGCGCTTAAAAATGAGTGGCGTTCTTTTCTTTCCTTACAAATTGTTATAAATTACCTGGTGGCAATCAGTTCGCATAACTTGAGATGTTTCAAGGAGGGTGTTTTTGTCATGATCATATGTTCAGATGTTTTTGGTTTGTACATCTTACTCTGTTTCATTCACCATTAGTTGTGTTATTGTGTGTAAACTGAAATGCTCCTATCATAGTTTATTACATCAGAGAAAAATAACATGAGTAGCAACCCAAGTTTTTGGAAGTTTATAACTTAAAGTTCAATAAAAAAAAAGATTTCAATTGTCATGAATCAAATAAATTTTAAGAATTATTCTGAATTTTTTTTTTAGTTTCTCCATGATGTACCTTATATGAATTTTATATAATTTCATTATTGTTTTTTCCAGCCAATGTTATTTTCGTTTCTCTACTATTTCTGCAACAACAGCAGAGAAGTTTTTTTTAATTTTTTTTTCAATGTCAGCTTATAAATTACATTGTTGATGACCATGACATATCGCATCATCACATCCTCACATTATTAAATTTTCACATCGTTACATAATCACATCATTAAGTCATTACATAAGCACATCATCACATCATCACATCGTCACATTATCACATCATCACTTACATAGTGCCATCATTATTTCTGTGACATCAGATGAGAATTGTGAGAAATGATCGCAACAAGCGGCGTGTAACGAGAAACATCTAAACATCATCATCCTCTTCATCACCATCATACGCTATCATCTTCATCACCATCAATTATCACATTTCTTATCATTCTCATCATCACAACACCTCTATTATAACATCAATCATCACCATCACATCAATCATCATTATCGTCGTTGTCGTCATCACAATTACTACCATCATTATCGTAATCATCTTCCTCTTCTTCTTCATCATCGTCATCATCATGATTAACATGACATTTAGTTTCCTTTGTATCGTCATCATCGTAATAAACTCCATCAACCGATTATTACTCATCATCATCGTTATGTTCTTGACCACCATGAGTGTCAATTATCATCACCATCAATCATCATTTTCGTCATCATCATCATCGTCATTGTCATCATTAGCATGTTATACTAATCAGCATCATTATTTTCATCATCACATCGTCATCAATGTTGTCACAATGTAATTGTTATCATAATTGAATAACTATCAATTTTTATTTTTATAACATAACATAAACAGAAAATAGAGAGGCACAAACTGACGTTCCTATGCCTCCAGCAAATGAAAAGCTTCCATTGTATTTTAAAAATAATAAAAAACAAATAAATGAAATGAAATAAAAACACAGATTGTTAATGATAAATGTCTATATATATATATATATATATATATATATATATATATATATACCCACGCATGCATCAGCTCACACACACACACACACACACACACACACACATTAACCACAAAAATGTCAAAAATAATATACCAATACATATTATATTATCTTTGACATTTTTGTGGTTAATGTATCATCACTATTATTTTCTCATGTCATTAGCATTCCCTCAATTTTCATCGTCACCTTCATCATCTTCGTCATCATAGCCACCATCATGTTCGTTCTCATTGTCGCCATCACCATTGTCAATTTTCCATCCTATCATCATCAATTTATTATCTTCGCCAATGATAATGATGAATTCAAAAGGCATGCATGCATGCATTAGTGTTCTTCTGAATTTCATCCAATCCATTCACAATTCTCTTGTTATTTTATGCAAGAGACGTGGTTCGCGATGATGTCATGATTTGATTGATGTGGTATGGATGTGATAGGTGATGGTACGATGATGAGAATGTTGTAGTGATGTCGGTGGATGATTATTTATTAATGTAGTGAGATGATGTGATCATTTAGTGATGTGATGTGATAATGTAGTGATGTGATGTGATAATGTAGCGATGTGATGTGATAATGTAGTGATGCAGATGACGTTGTAGATGACGTTGTTGATGTATTGTTTTCGGAGGCGAGAGTTATTACAGCGGATGGTTGATAAGGCGATTGATGAGGCAGACAAGTTGATGAGCGAAGAAATAAAAAGAATTTATGGACCAACGATTTAAGCTGCCTGCCAGACTGCAACTTTCAATGGTTATTTAGTAAACTGTCAGCTGCCTGATTGATAGATTTTCAACGCTTTCCTTATAATAACAAAATCAAATTTTTATTTTTTTGAATGGAAAAAAATTTTCAAATGAGAAATTTTTTTTTCTTGCCATAACTTTCATCTTCATATTTTATTTATAATTTTTTTGAGAATAAAAAAGAGATAAAAGCAAATGACATTTTTATTTAAACATAATAAACAAATTTTTATGCTAACATAATTTTTTTTTATTTATTCCGAAACTTATTTACTTGGTAATATTTTTTCTGTTTACAAAATTTCTACGCTCCTATTAATATTATTTATGTTTACAATTCCAATTGACTTAGTTTCTTCATTCACATAAATGTTTATATACAATTATACATTCAGTTGTCTGGAATTAACGAGTTGGTTTGAAAATGTTTCTGAAACAATTTCAATTTGTGAGACGAACTGAAAATTTTTAAAAATGGTCTGAAAAATGGAAAAAAATTACGAAATTTGAGGGCAAATTTTGTAAAGTGAGGAAATGGTTAGAATGAATCGAAAGTTTGTTACACTTTAATCATAAACGATAATCGAAAAATGAATGAATTTGTTTTGGAAAAAATTCCTGTGAGTATAACTAGATTTCGGAGCCAGGTAGACATGGTTGACTAAGAAAGAATTGACTGATGGACCACTAACCACGCCGATGACTCTTTTAAATTCATCATTCTAACTTCCTCGCTTCACAGACAAAAAGTTGTTTAGTTTACACTCACGTCCTCACAGACACATGCTTAAACATATAAATATACCTAACGCGCCTATAACACCTAATATACCTAAAACCCCTAATGTGTATATCTATCGTCATCATCGTTTAAAGGTTTTTAGCACCTGGTAAATCCTGGGACGATCTCCAAAATTTTCTATCATGGCATTGCCTTGCCACCTCTGGCATGCTCTTCCATCAAAATTTAATAAACTACAATTTAATCTGTTGGCTAACAGAACATTCCATCTCAGTTCTTTCAAGTTTTTTAATCAACTCGGTCCACTTCAAATTTCAGGTCTACTTACCTTAGACTGACTCAAGATTGAATTATTTTCAGTTTTCTTTGCACGCATAGCGCACAGTAGAGAAGTTGGATCCTATCCAACCCTATCCGCATCACCTGTCCATTCTATCCAACTTACCACCAAAAACACTCAAATATTTTCTATATACTAAATATTCATTTTTGTATTTTTATCTTTTATTTCAAACGATTTGTTGTAAACATATGTACGAATAGAATAACTGGCAATGACATTCATTTTACATTCTACATTACATGTCGCTCTTCCATTAACAAAAAACTTGTTGTAAAAATACCTAATGTCGAATGAAGCACTCGTTCATAGCAGGCAACTCTTAAAACGGATAGGAAACATCTTTCGACAAAAGGGAAATATGAAGCAAAAATATTTAATTGAAAAATTTCTACGTACTCAAGTGGTGCTTGCTTCAGGATTCCGTACGTATCAAGTGTACGCTGTGAAAAACGGAGAGGAGCCGTGAGTGCCTACCTGTACGTACGCATGCTACAAACACGCGTACACACATGC